ATTATATGACCGATATATTTATGGTTCAAGATGGAACATTCACACAGGACAGCTATTGTTGTGTTGGCTGTTGTCATTTTGTATCTGACAGTCTAAAGGAAAAGAGATCAGTGCCCCTGAGTAAATAGTCAGGTATTGCATGTTTTAAAAATTCTTGCAGCACATTGGTTGAAAATCACTGCTCTAGATGGTAACAGCTGGCTTTATTTCATGGTCCTTTAGCCTCATGCTTCAACTCCATGTCTTACATGTGTGTTTTGGGAGAAGGGGACTATTAAAACAGACAGAGCTTCAGACTCCATGTTGCTGGAGTGACAGCTCGTCCTACCAAGACAACTGCAGCGTGTGGCTATCATCAGATTGCTCTCCATGCTGAATGCCAGCTTCCCCTCTTCCAGAGGAAAGAACACAATGTAAATCCTCAAGATATAAAGCCCGATTTACTCAATTAGTTCACTGAAATTGAAAATTAGTCAGTTAAATTCAGCTTGCTTATTTCAAAGGAAAGTATGTGTATTTTTTTTACATGAACAATTTACTGTTAATCTGAAGAGCAAAAGAAGACAAGTGAGGTTCAAAGTGCTCGGAGCCTGCCTGATATGTACACATACTTCCAAAGCAACAGGGGACCACTGACAGAACTAGTTTATGTTAGCTATTAAATCTTTAGTAAAAAGGCTGAAAATCCCAGAAAAAGAGGAATAAAATGAGAGAGGGAGAGCAAATTCCATGATAAATGACACTGATGTGTCCATCGTTGGACCACTGTTGCTGTAACCGAACATTACTATTATTCACTAACCTGCACAGTTTACCCAAATCAGGGCCATTGAAATAGAACAGAAATAATAATAACTTTATTTCTGAAGAAGCAACACTACATAGTGTTGGTAAAATACTTGGAATCTTAGAATTTAGTTCCAGCTGTGCTATAATCAATTACATCACGTTTGGCAAATTCCTTTACCCCTCTGAATCTCAGTTGCCTCATATAAAATGAAGGATTTCTTAGCTAGCATCTCACTTTGGAATTCTATCATCCTATGTTTTGCACTCATGGAAATCTCTCTCAACGGGCTTAGAGTACTGAAGAGGACTTCAAAACACTAGCCAGATTTGTGTCTCAAGCACTGCACTTCACACACATGCACCAGTTGTACCTTCAACCTTCCCCCACTTTATCAAATAAAAACTCCATTCTCCCCATTTCTCAGATTAAAAACTTTGGAGGCATCCTGACTCCACTCATTCTCCCACATCCAGTCTTTCAGCAAATTCCATCAACCCTACCTTCCAAAAATATGCAGAATTCCTACTCACCCCGCCACCCCCAACATAATCACCCAAGAACAAATCACTGTCACTACCCACATACCTTATATCAATAACCTCCACACTTCCCACCTTCAATTATTTTCAACACAACAGCCAGAGTTATTCTTTGCAACACAAGTCACCCTCGTCACTGCTCTGCCTGAAGCCAACCAACGACACTGTAAAATCAAAAGGTCTTCAAGGCCCCATCTTCACCTACTCCCACCTCTCCGACCTCCACTTCCCACCTGGTCTTCTTTGTTCTGGCCATACCAGCCTCTTTATTCTTATTCCAATCTACTAAGTTTGCCTCCACCTCCGGGCCCCTGGATTGGACGTTACACATTTTCTGCATGGTTTTCCCCCCTCACTTGTTTCAGGTCTCTGCTCAAATTTTACTGTAGAGAAATCTTCCCCGACCAATCAACATAAAATTACACACTCCTGACAAACGCAGCTGGTGCACGGTCCTTTGGCTAAGGAGTCAGCATGAGGCCAGTGCAGGCCTGTCTGGTGCTGCGCTGCCCTCTCTCTATTCTTTCTCCCCAGCTACCACCCTGCTCCGAGTCTGGCCTCTTCGCTTTAAAATCGATTCCAGAGCTGCTTTATCTCCAGGCCAGGCCTCAGTAGGGAGGGGCATTGCTGACTGACTGCGGGTGCCCCCTTCCGTTTTTCCAGCCTGGACTCAGGCTGAGACACCTCTCGGCTAGCAGAAAAGCACTGGCGACCTAAGTTTCCCGTAGAGGACTGTCCTCCACCCGCGCGCGCCCCATTTTTCCGCCGCAAGCACAGGAACCCGGAGCCGCGCGCTGCTCTTCGGGCGGGTGCGCGGGGCGCGCCTGCCCCGGGACCGCCAGGGCGCAGTGCCGCAGCGTTCTGGGGCGCGGCGACCTGGAGAAAGATCCAGGCAAGTTAGGGTTTCCGACGCCTCTCCGTTTTCCTTCTACGCTCTCACCCCAAATGACTGGACTTCCGGGTGCAAACGTTTGTCACCCCGTCCGCTCTTAAGTATTTTAAGTCTTGGAACCTGACCCTGCGAGGCTAGGGTAGGGGTGGGTCCTCATGGCCGCGGAACCTGCAGCGGCGGCGATCGCTGGGGGCGGGGCGCCCCGGATGCGCGCAGCCAGGGGTCTCTTCCCCCAGAGAGCGTCCTCGGGCTCTGCTTGCCCACTGTTCTGAAAGCAGCAGCTTTTTAAGTCCTCTCCATCCCCGCCCCCGCCCCCATGCTTTCTGTCTCTCCCTGTCGGGTGGAAAGAAAAAAAGAAAACACCTCTGACCAGCGACAACGGGAGGGTGTGGTGGCTCCGAGGGCAAACAGAATGAGCAGAAACCCAAGGGGCGGCTGACAGTGCAGTCGCTGCTGGGGGGCGCGGCGGGGAGTGACAGCAGCCCTTTCTAGAGGGCTTTTTGTAAAAAATATATATATTATTTTTCAAAGACTTTCATCTCAGCCCATTAGATTCTCATAGGTTTGGGCGGCTTGTTGTTTAAATTATAAGAAAGGAATTAGAACGATACATCTTTCTAGTGTAACCCTAAAACACCATGAGATGCGCCCAGTCCTTTTTAGAAACACTCTTCACAGAGGGGGCGGCGTTGGCTGCCCTGAATCCGGAAGGAAGAAATGCGGGCTCAGGGGGTCGGTCCCAGAAAGCCGAGAAAGATGCCTTCATCTACAAATAGATCTTTGTCTCCTCAGGAGTGTGTCTACCGGCGGGAGAAAGGAAATGCTTTTCTACTCATTTTGCTTAAATTATTCCTGAGTTTGAGCCAAATGTTGTTTTGTAAGTGGGCAGGGTGGAGGTGCAGGGCAGCAAAGGCTCCTGGCTTCTGTGACTTGATCAGCAAGATGTCTCGTCCCATCTCCGAATAACAAACTGATTATAGGGTGTCTAAACAATCCTCCCCCCAAAAATATGTCCCAAGTTGATTCCTCTGCCGGAGGAAGGGCTATTTGGTTAAGGGTGGTGGGTCACCCCAGGAAAAGTGCCCGGATACTGAGGAAGCTAAAATCAGCTTCCAGTCTCTAGTGCCTGGAGACTGCTGAGTGGGGGTGTGAGAGTGGGTCTAAAAGCATTTTCAGAAGTCACAGTTGTTTTCTAATTTCCACTGTTCAGATGGGCCTGGGAGGACTGGCCAGAAGCTAGAAGAGAGGGCAAACAAAACAAACTGGGTCTCTGGATCATTTCTCTTTCTCGGCTGCTCCTGCTAAGTCACCACAGTGTCCCTTCAGAGACAGGATTCACACTCTCAGGTCACTTCCACAGACATTTCCCCTCCCATTAAGTGTGTGGGGAAGGTGGTGCTTTAATTCTCACCTCAGCATCACCCTCTGATCTCACATGTGTAACACCAATATTTCTGTCTTAAACTGTGCAAATGATTTGTGGTTTACAGTTGAGATTTTCTGTCACACATCTTCATGTGTGTGTGTGTGCGCAGTAAAATGTCAGGGTTCTCCTGTAAGTAAATGATTAGAAACAACCAAGTCAGAATGAGCAAATCATTCCTTTCTCTCAAACCAGAGATGATTAAACACACACACACACACACACACACACACACACACAGTTTTTTAATATAAGGTGTCTGTTTTTAATAGTGGGCTAGATGAAGAGTAAAAGGAAGTATTCTGTTGCATCAAAGCATCCTACTAGTTTTGTTTTAATGGTCACATCAGGAAATGGCCTATACTCAGCATGAAATTATAAGGATGTGGGGTGGTTATAGGTTAAAGAATGGTATTTAGCTAAGAGCAAAGGGATTAATGGCCATCAATACACAAATGAAGATGTTAATGGCTGCAAGAACCCTGATCCTCATCTATAGTATATAAGGTTTTTTTAATAAAGCCACTTCATATTTAGACTACTTGTAATAAACATAGTTTTTGTTTTTGAGAAGTGTCACATTTAAAATCATGTGTGTACTATATCAGAACCTAAGGTATTAAAAAATCTAAAGTGTCAGCTGTGATGGGACTGACCACCTCACAAAACAATAAACACTTTTGTTTTTCTCTCTCAGCTTATCATCTGTCATATATTAGCTGCTACAATATTTATCCCAATTAACTAAAATAATACATATTTCATCTCAAGTGAATTAATGCAGGAAAACTAAGGCTTTGAAGTATAGCTATCAAGCTTTATAGAAAAACTTATAGGGATTTACATCAGGAGCTATTAAAATGTACATAATACCCTTTGAACACTAATTCCATTAGGGGAATTACTAAAGACATACTTCCGTAGAAGGAAAAACATGACGCTATGCACTGATAAAGATATTCATTGCCAAACTATTTATAATTTTCATGAACATTTTTCAACTTAAATTGGGACACTGGAGCAAACAAGAATGGGTACACTGATGAGAACAATAAGGAAAATATTTGAAGTTGGAATTGTTTCAGGATCTCTTAAATGGATAATTATTGTTCATTTGGAAAAAAAAAAGAAAGTAAGTCTGGCCAGTGTGGCTCAGTGATTGAGCATCAACCCACGCACCAGGAGGTCACCAGTTCAATTCCCAGTCAGGACACATGCCCAGTGGCGGGCATGCAGAAGGCAGCCAATCGATGTTCTCTCTCATCAATGTTTCTATCTCTCTCCCTCTCACTTCCTCCCTCTCTAAAATCAATAAAGGAAAAAACAATTTTTTTAATTACAAAAAAAAAAAGATCAGTGCTCACTTCGGCAGCACATATACTAAAATTGGAATGATGCAGAGAACATTAGCATAGCCTCTCTGCAAGGATGACGTGCAAATTGGTGAAGTGTTCCATATTTTTTTTTTTGGCAACAAGATGTGAATAAAATTAAACTACTGTTTTAAAAAAAAAGAATCACATGCCCATTAGCTTATGGTAGTCACCAGTGAGCTTCACCTTTTGATATGTACAGTATGTCTTTTTGTAGTTTCCTCTCACACTGAATCAGCCAGGCTGGTCTCTGTGACCAAGAGAATACAGTGGTAATGATGATATGTGACTCTCAAGGCTAGGTTTTTTGGAAGCCTTGCCTCTGAGGAAGGCCAGCCACCATGTTGGAAGGATCCTCAAACAGCTCCATGGAAAGGCCCACATGGAGGAGAAATTGCCAGTCAAGTGGGTAAGCCACCTTGATGTCAGTTCTGCAGGCCTAGTCAAGCCTTCAGATAATAGTAACCTCAGCCAACATCTGAATGAAACCCTATTACAGACCCAGAGCCAGAGTGTCCCAACTGGGACACTATACTGTTTAAACTATACTGTAATCTATTAAGCCACTCCCAAATTTCTGATGTGCAGAAACTAAGAAGCAATGAATGACTGGATTTTTTTAAGTCACTAAGCTTTAGAGTTATTTGTTATGTAACAATAGAAGATTAATGCATACTACATACTAATTTATTGAAATATTGTGTAGTTATCAAAAATAAGATACTATTTACAACTTTCCCATTTTATGCATTTATTCTGTTAGTAAAAAAATTACCACAAAAATGTCCTAAATCACACCACATCATGCCATCTCTACTGCTTTTTCCCTTTTCTAAGTCAACACACCATTTCCTCTTACCAGGACTAAAGCAGCCTTTTAGTTAGGTTACTCTCTCTACTTTGACTCTTGCATCTCTAAAACCTATTCTCTACACAAGAGCCAGAAAGGTCATTATAAAACGGGAATCAGATCATGTCACCTTCTGCTTAACCCCTTCAAAAGTTTTTAATTGCACAAGGAATCAAATCTAACTTCTTTATATACAAGTCCCTGCATAATCTAGCTTTTGCCTGCCTCTCTCAGCCTTATCTCTTATTCTGTCTAATAAATATTCTTTTATTTTTAATCCTTACCAGAGGATATTTTTCTATTTGTCTTCAGATAGAGTGTGTGTGTGTGTGTGGGAGGGAGAGAGAGAGAGAGAGAGAGAGAGAGAGAGAGAGAGACTGGTTGCCTCTTACATGACCCCAACCAGGACCCGGGACAGAACTACAACCAAGGTACGTGCCCTTGACCGGAATCAAACCTGCGACACATTGGTCTGCAGGCCGATGCTCTAACTGCTATGCCAAACCGGCCAAGGCTAATAAATATTTTTAATATTCATTAATGGACTTAAGGCGTTTGTGGTAGGAACTGTCGAACAAGCCAAGCTTTTGTACTTGCTGTTCCCTCTACCTGGAGCACTCTTTCTCCAGGTCATTGCACATCTGGCTCAGATATAATGTCACCTACCTATTGACTTGTTTATTTGTTCATTGCCTATTTACACACACACACACACACATTTTTGGTTTCCCAGTGTATAAAAGATATGTTTAAACTATACGGTAGTTTATTAAGTGTGTAACAGTATTATGTCTAAAAAATGTGATACCTTAATTTAAAATATTTTATTGCTAAAAAAAAAATGCTAGCCACGTCTGAGCCTTCAGAAAGTTATAGTCTTTTTAAGGTCTCCAATTTGTGAAAAATATAGTATCTGTGAAGCATAATAAAATTAAGTACGCTGTGTGAATAATGTCTGAGCCTATTCTGACATCTTACACTCTGTCCCCAAGAGAGGAAGACAAACTTCTTTATCCTGTCCATGTTTATGAAAGGTTTTCACAAATATTAAAACTTACCATTCTAGCCCTGGTCTGTTTGGCTCAGCGGTAAAGCGTCGGCCTGCGGTCCAGAGAGACCCGGGTTCGGTTCCTGCTAAGGACACGTACATCAGTTGTGGTTTGTCCCTGGCCCTGGTTGGGTTGTGCAGCTAGCAGCCACTCGATGTGTCCCTTTCACGTCGATGTTTCTCTCTCTCTCTCTCTCTCCCTCCCCACTCTATCTGAAAAAAAAAAAAAAAACTTACCATTCTATAAACATTTATTAAGATGCCCTAATAACTAAGCACTTTGTGGAGTGTTGTGGAAGAAGAAACAAAGATATTTATTTATTTATTTATTTATTTATTTATTTATTTATTTATTCAACCTTTACCCCATACCCAAAATGATTTAAAAACTTATGACAAAAAGACATGCAAGAATGAGAAAGAGAAGGAAGGAGTAAAGGAAGAACAGAAGGAGGGAAAGGAGAAGGAGAAAAAATTGAGAACCAGTTAAATTTAAACAAAACTAGAAAATTATGACCAGATAGAAGAATAATATCTTGGAAACAAATGCCCTGAAGCTTGAAGATCCTTAAAAATTAACTTTAAATTCATCTCTGTTTATAAAACTATTTCTTGCCTTCCAACAGTTTAAAAGTAAGCAGAGGGATTAAAATATGGACATAAATAATCAAAGAGATTAAATAAAAGTTGGAGTATCTTAAGTAACTAAACATTGTGAATGTAAATATACCCCTTGAATGGTACAAGGACTGTGTTGTAAAAATTCCAATAATTGTGTGAAAACTCCCAGGACAATGTCACAACACATGCCTGTGAAAATAAGCTCTGATTTCATGAGGATGCCCCTGAGGTGGACTGCAAAGGAGACAGTAGTTTGTACCTGTTAAGGGCATGAACTTTAGAGCGAGACTGTGAGGTTTAAATGTCAGCCCTACCACAAACTACCTGTGTGACCTTGGTCAAGTTACCTAACTCCAATTCCTCATCTATAAAATGGGGACGATAAGCACACTGGACTGATAAGATTGTTCTAAGAGAGAAATTGATGAGTTAATACATATAATGCACTTAGATCAGTGCCTGGAACACAGCAACTATTCTGACAGCACTAGAATTTTCATGTGGGGGAAAAAAATAAATCAAATTAGTTGGTTACCAACTTAATGCTAAGAATGAAACTTGACATTATCTTCAATAATTCCCTTTAAGTAATGGATTATATGGATGTTTCCCATTCAGCCATTTACCATGAGCTTGTAAAAGATTTTCGGGAAATTTTGAATCATGAATCTAGAAAGGATCTGAGACATCAACTGCTGAACCATTTATGTAGCTAAGATGGTGAAGATCAGAGTAGGGGTCCAGGCCAGAGTGGTGCGGGTGGGGATGGGGACGGCCAGTGCTCCGTAACAAACAATGCTAGAATCCAGAACAGAAACGTCATTCTTTGTTCTCTGTTCTTTCCACAAGGTGTTGACTAGACTGAGACTAATTATTGACTACTCTTGGCTTTCTAGTAATCCCAAAGACATTTTAATCTATCAAGAATTTTTATTTCAATCAATATTTACTGTGCTCTCCTGTGGTGGGAACTGTGCTAGATGCTGAGGGTTAACTGGTAAGCAAGAGATCAGAATGTTTGTTATACTTCTGAAGATCACATTATATCAGAGGATGCAGACACTTTTTAGGAGATTATAAAAACAGATGCTGATTGCAGATGTGTAAATGTCTACAAAGTCTACATGATCTTAAGGACATGTTTAATAGAGGAATTTGGCCCAGTCAGAAAAGGTTTCCCCAAGAGAATGACAACTGAGCCTAAATATGGGCAAGGCTGAGGGAAGGAAAGAAAAGGCAAATGCTCCAGACAGATAAATCAGCAAAAGCCCTGTGGCTGGTGGGAGGAAAGAGAACCAGGGTGCAGGAGCTCGGGAGGGAAGGGAACAGATGCACAAAGGAGGTGAGAGAAGTTGTCCAGGATCAGGGTTATAAGGGGCTTGAAAAGCACCTTAAAGAGATTAGTTTCATATTAAAACAAATGGGAAACTATTGGAGGGAATGGCATGATCAAATTTTTCTGTTCAAAAGATTAGCTTACTGTAATGTTCTGATTGAAGGAGGCCAAGCATAGACACTGGGAGGTCCCTTGGGGTAGTGCCAGTATAAATGGAGAAATGTAGATGGGTCCAGGGTATGTACGCTGTAACATCAATAGGACTCTGGCAGATTAGACTAAAGGAACTGGAGGAGAGAAAATGGAGAGTATGATGTCATATCCAGTCTCTGGTCCACAGAATTGGATGACTGGGGACTGGTGTCATTAACCGAAATACTGAACAAGAACTGGAGTTTAGGAGGGAACAGAAGGGAGAAGGGTACTAACCAAGGAACCAAACTTGAGAAAAAAATTTTACAACTTCAAATTCATTCAGTTTCGGTTTTTCAGTATTTTATTATGGCACACAGGATAGAGTATGGTACAGTGTTCTTACTTCAAGTAATTCTCAAACCAACCAGCTGTTTCCATTTGGCTAAAGTTACATTTTTACATGTAATTTGCTCCTCTCTGAGATTTACCATATGCAGCATCCCATGTTTAATTAACATAAATGTGAAAAGCTTGGTTTCTGAGGTGACTCCTAGTCTTTACAGAAGCCGATGTACTGAGAATCTTCATAAGTTCAAATCCATAGCATCATAGTAGATAAAGCAATATTTTGCCTATTTATGTGATGATATATATAACAAGAAATAGGTAATGTGAAGGGATAACTTTAAATGAAGACCACTTTGCTTTCAGGTTAAATTCATCACTTTTACAAGTTATCTAAAAAACAAATATTAAACAAAATTAGCTGACGAGGCAATTGTGTAAGAACAGAAGCAGAGCAGCAGATAATTTCATCAACATTCCACATCAAGTGCAAAAGCTTTCATAACTTCACAGTGGAGAGGACAGGTGGGGTGTGCATTTGATGCAAAGCCCAGTCAAAACTATTGTTGAAATAGTGGCTCATAACAATTTCATTATCTGTATCTGTAGCCTTTAAAAGTTTTAAAATGGGTGGCATTAAATGTCATTTACTTGAGGCAACAAAATTAAGCTAACAACACACTGAATCATGAGCTCAGGATTGCAGGCAACATGTTTGAAATGACAATATCAAAATAACTTTTGATATTCTTATT